TGTGTGTGTGCGTGTGTATGTTGTGTGTGTGCGTGTTGTGATCGAGATTTGATAAAGGAGACATTTTTTTGTGTTGAACTAAATTAAAAGTGGTTTTATTTCAAATATAAGTAACGTCAAAACTATCTGTACAACTGCCTAATACTATCTTTCACCTAACTTTTTCAATAATTAATTTAGTATAAATAAATAATTTATAAATATATGAAAAATTATAATTGTCAAATAGATGTGTGACATGTATGTACCCTGGGCTGCTATGAATGTATGGCTTGTAACAATCGGGTAGGCCTAGGTTGTGTGGAAAAATATTTCAAATTGATTTATCATTGACCAAAAGAAAAATAATAATTGTTAATAATAAATATTAAATATTTTAAATTATTAAATATTAAATCACATTTCTACAAAATACGAGGCGTCTCTAATCCACGCATCCCACACATATCGCATGTGATAGACGCCGCGTATCTGCTTGCAATCGAACACGGTCACTGCAATAGCAGAACCAGCCGCCTTAACCATTACACTATCTGGCCGCCCAATCGAAAATGTAAAAATGACCCTAACGGGAATGAAGCTGGCGTTAATGTAATCTGAATATTTGACCTCTTCTTGACCTTTGATCTTCACCCTGTTGTGGTCATCTGAAATTTCCACGACCAACAGTTTTTAATAGTTTTTCAAGTATTAAACTTATATTTGAACTAATAATTACAATTATAATTTTATTATTATAATAATTATTATTATATTCATGAAATATACAAACACGGGTAGTGATTTTTGAAGCGGTTCTTGGCAACAAGTGATTTTCTGTTAGCATAATCCATGCTATCACCCGAGCCTTTTGGGCAAGACTTTTGAAAAAAAATTATTTCATAAATTATTAATATAATTATAATAATAATTCTGTATTATTATTATTATTAAGGATTCTCTTTTTGTTAATTTTTAAATTTACTGTTTGCAATAACAGATCTTTCAAATAAGCGAGAGAGGATCCACTTATCATACACATTACTTATGATAGTAGAGGATCTTTCTTGCAGTCGAATCCGGGCTCTGTAACACAGAACCAGGCGCTTCCAATCATTACACCCACAGGCCACCTAGTTTTATAGTTTATAAAATAATTTTTTCGAATTTTTCTACCTCAAATTGTTTAGAAATCTCATCTTTCTTTGTAGCGTAATAATGTTCCACTCTATCTATTGGGATTTTCGTTCCGTCGTAGAGGTCTGTGAATGAATGAACGAATGAATGGATGAGTGAATGAATGGATGAACGAACGAACAAACGAACGAACAAACGAACGAACGAACGAATGAATGAATGGATAAATGAATGAATGGATGAATGAATGAATGGGTGAATGAACGAACAAACAAACAAACAAACAAACGAATGAATTATACATGAATGATGTATTATTATATGATTACTTAGATGCTATATAAAGGATATGTAGATGATATATAAATGATACATACAATCACTGTTATCATAAACATCATCTGTGACACCATGGTAGGTTTCCTTTTCTGACTTCTTTCTGTAAACATTTAGGGTTATAATTATCTAAGTAAAATACACTAAGATTTAGTGAGTTACTCATGTGCGTGTGTGCGTGTGTGTGTGTATCTGTGTGTGTGTATCTGTGTGCGTGTATCTGTGTGCGTGTATCTGTGTGTGTGTATCTGTGTGTGTGTATCTGTGTGTGTGTGTTTGTGTGTGTTAGTGTGTGTTGTGTTTCTATTGCCTCAATACGATGTTATTGTATGACAATGTGTATGCGTGTGTATGCGTGTGTGTTTGTGTAAATGTGTGTGTGTTTGGGTGTTTGTGTGTGTATTTTATGGCTTTATTGCAATAAGAAATGTAAATGACTTAGATGGTACAGCCTTTGCGACTCAATAATTTTTGATCGTTGGAAAATATTTAGGCCTAACATTATGTCATGAACATTTATGCCTGTATGGCTATTCGTACGTAGAAGAACAACAATTATATTAAAAATAATGATAATAATAAATAATAATAATATTAATAAATAATAATAATATTATTATTATTATAATTAATAATAGAAATAACAATAACTCTACTTTTTGAAGTAAAAGAAATACAGTAGGAGTGCACCGGCAGTAATTAGCAGTAGAATCACTAAGGCTCCTATTATACCGCCAGCAATTGCTCCACCTATTTGTATTTTTTAATAATTTATTCAAATTATTATTATTAATTATTATTATTATATTATTTTTTGAATTTATCCGGGTATAATTTGAAAAAAAACTATCTTAAATATTTTACAGAAGCATCAACAACAGACACAAAGCCTATGCTAAAGTTATCACAGACGGCATGTGTTAGCCGCTTTAACCATTAATTACACCATGAAATCTTATCTATAAACACTACAAATACCATTTGATGATGGCAGTGGTTGTGTGACTTGGGCACACACAAATGTTGAGATTCTTTGGTACCCAGGTCTGCACAAACATTCGAAAGATCCCAACGTGTTGTTGCAGGTTGATGCGTTTTTGGTGCAGTTGTTTTCATCGGTCAGGCATTCGTCCACGTCTGCAAGAATCAATTTTGTGATTGTAAGACTGTGTAGAAAGTTGTTTCAAGTGAGAGTAAAGGTAAAAGTTAAGTGTGTTAACTCCGAAAACTTAATTAGTACAAGTTTTTTGTTCCTTGTATTGAAAAAATAAGTTTAAATACATTTAGATGAGCTAATAAATAAAAAATTTGCAAGTTTTGCAGTTAAAAGTAATTGTAAATCATAGACCAATGCAAGTGTTGTTTCTATTGTTGGAGGCTTTATAACCAGATGAACAACCACATGTGTAGGCTCCAGGGGTGTTGAAACAAGTCTGCGAAGGCTTCTTGCAGCTGTTTTTATTCTCATCCGCACACTCATCATCATCTGAGAAACAAAATTTATCAGCTTGGATTAGCTGTGGATGTAATTTTTTTTAAATTAGTGCTACTTCAATATATTTTAGAAAAATTCAGCACTTGTTTCAATTTAAAATGTCGATTTAGATAAATTTTATCCATTATAGTTACAACTTTTTAATAGAACTGGAATGAATTTACCAAAAATTCTTACCAAAACAAGCAACTTCATTCCCAGGATCGTGATGGAAGCCTCTAGAACAATTACACTCATAGCTTCCTTCAATGTTGACGCATGTTGAACTGGTTGAGTTACACAGATGCGTGGAGTATGTCGAACATTCGTTAATATCTGTCAATGGAAAAAATTTCATTTGACGAGTTGAAATATCTCGGAAAAATTATTTTTTTTCTAAAATGTTTCCTACCTGTGCAATAATCATGTACGTATGATTTTTTGTAGCCGCCCTTGCAAACACATTCAGACACGTTAAACGATCCCAGGTTGAAGACCTGACATCCATGGATTCCACAGTCGCCATTGTTAACGCTGCAATCTGTGTTGAATCAGTGAGTTGAATTTAGTTTAGTTTTACATTTATTTAGTATTTTTTGTTGTTGAAAACATGGATGAATTGTTGAAAACATGGATGAATTGTTGAAAACATGGATGAATTGTTGAAAACATGGATGAATTGTTGAAAACATGGATGAATTGTTGAAAACATGAATGAACTAATTGGAAAAGTTGCCTCTTCTATCGCAAGCATCTCCACGCCATCCCGCTTCGCAACTTTTTGACGGACACACCATTCCAGGAAGAAGATCGGTTTGGTTGGAGCAATGGTAGATGTCCGAACAACTTTTGTTGGTTCCGAATGTGTTGCAAACTGAAATTAATTAATTAATTAATTCATTCATTCATTCATTAATTCATTCATTCATTCATTCATTCATTCATTCATTCATTCATTCATTCATTCATTCATTCATTCACTCACTCACTCATTCACTCACTCATTCACTCATCCATTCATTCAATCATTCATTCCTTATAATCTTGTTACAGCTAAACTTGTTAACAAGCAACGATTTAATTGTCATTTTATTCATATTGAAATTTTTTTTAACTCATCTTCTGAAATGTATTTACTAAAATAGATGCTGCTTCTATATTCATCGCCGCATATTTGCGATTGATTTCCATCACATTTGTCGTTACACTCCTTATCCGAGACTTGTTCATATTTTCCGTACGCATAGCCACAAAAGCATTGATAACGATACTGGAATTTTTCAACGGTTTGTTTGTTAAATTTATCAATGTATATATGAAAAATAAAACAAATGGAATGGAAAAATAAAACAAATGAAAAAAAAACAAATATAGAAGGCGAACCTGTAAGCCAGCGTAAGTGAAATTATTTTCGAAACAGTGTTTAGTGCATGTTTCGATCGTCAACGTGTTTTGAAAGGACGCACCAAAAAATAAATCCCTGTCCGAAGCATCTCTGTAGCAACCGACGTATTGCAGCTTTGTTGAAAAAATCTTTGCTGAAATGGATTTCCAGTTTTTACTGTTTAAAATGTCGTTTCAAGACAAAATGAATGTACCTGTATGAACGATGACGTTCTGTTTGGCAGGGCAGTTACTGGCTGAATTGCAGTTGGAGAAACAGGAAGAGGAAGTGGGATTAAGGGATGATGGAATCCCACAGGAGCATTTAAGTTTATCCTTATAAATGTATATTAGTTTTGAACGTTAATTTGGATTTAAAATTTTCAAATTTGTTGAAAAAACCTTGACTGTTGAATAATAAAAACTCGATTGCTTGCACAAGTTTATGCATACTTCGACGGATGATTCGTTGAAAGTTTTTTGAGTTTGAAATGATTCGAAGCATCCAAAATATTTATCTACAGATTTTTCTAAAATGGACATTTTTGTTAGTATTATAAAAATAACAAACGATTATGAACAATTACCTAAACCATAAACTTCCAACTCCGCAAAGGTCATTGCACTTCTTTGAAGAACTATCGTGGCATCCTGTTGTATGATGACATACCTGTAGTAGATATTTTTATTTGCACAATCAACTCTCATTGGCTGTCCACCTGATGACGCAACAGCTGACCACTGGCCGCAGTTATCATACTGGCCTCGAATGGTTTTGTTTACTCTTGGGTCAAAATTGTTTGCAAGTCCAACAATAAACTTGTCCATCATGTTATCTTAAAACCAGTTAAGTTTCAAATGAGAGAAGAATTTCTAATTAAGAAAAATATTACTCACAATAATATGATCTTGCATACATGACAACATATCGAACCTGGTACCTCTCAATCAAATCAACGACGAACCAATTTGAGCCGGGAGAAATAACATCATATAGGTGGCAAAAATTTGTTTTTATACCATCAACGCAATAGCTCGGATAATATTCTTGATAAATTCCACTCAAATAGGCAGGTTTGTAGAGGGCGACATTTTCATATTGTAAAAAACTTTCTGAAAAAATTGTTGATTGGTTGAATAAAATAAAAATTCGTTTCCCGTTCAATGCCCAATCATAAGCTTTCAAAAATAAAACCTCACCATCTGTGTAAACTTCCAACTCAGCAAATCCTAAATTCTTATCCTTACTTTCTTGTTCAACTTCTAAGGCTTGCTGCACTATGACGTATCTTGAAAATTTGTTTTCATCACTACAATTTATTCTCATTCGCTGGCCAGGAGATAGAACATCGGCAGGCCACTGCCCACACAGGTCATACTTACCTCGTATCGACTGGTTCACTTGTGGATCAAACGTGTTTGTCAAACCAATTATAAACTTGCTCATTCGGTAATCTAAAAAATAATAATCAACATTGGGTATTTAAAATTTTTTATTTAATAAAAATTTCATTCAACCAATCAATCAATGAACGTATCAATTTGATTAGTTTAAGAAGTGCATTTTTTAGAATTTCTGAAGCCCAACTTTACCACAATTGAGACAATAATCACTATTGTAGAGAACAGCATATTTGACCTGGAAAGCATGCACCAGATCAACCACAAACCAGTTTGAGTATTCATAACCTCCATCTGCATGAGCAAAATTATTTTTAAGAATGCCATCAACTCCATAAGAAGCAAAATATTTTTGGTAAGTTGAACTAAGGTAGGCTCGTTTTTCAAGCGCAACATTCACGTAGTCAGCTGTTTTTTTTAATGTTAAAAATTAAAACTTAAATTGTAACGTTAGCTATAAGTTGAAAATTCTTACCGAACAAACAAATATCTACAATTTTTATAAATTTGCAAATTTGATAATAAAACAACCTTTCGTTGACTTCATAGAACTTGTGTAAAAAATTAACAAAGACAGTATCAGTCTAAGCATTGCTGTTCTGCACTTCGAACAGAAAAGACAGGAGGTGACAAAAATTGTTCTTCACAGAAACGTTGGAACACATATACTTAGAATAAAATCTTCATAAAAATCACATACAACTAACCCAAGCAAGGATGTTATACGCTAGCTCTAAAATCTCTTACCATTAGGACATTAAATCTGAAATCTAAGAGCTGAACAATGGAATTAGGAAGTTTAGATACGAAATTTATACATTTAAATATTAAATGTCTTACATATATTTTGATATATTTGAAGTGCAAACACACCACACACGCGCACGCACACACACACACACACACACACACACACACGTAAATTCTTACTCGAGTTTGCACAATTGCTTTTAGTGATATATAGATTTACCATCAGTTTGTTTACTAATCATTCTGTTGAATCCTTCCTTATTACCTTACATCAACATTTTTAATTTAATTTCACATCGAGTTATATTTTAATTTTATACATTTGTATTATATTTAAATATATTAATAATTTAATAATTATAAACATTTAATGGAGAGTTTCAATTTATTTATTTATTCATGACGATTCTCTCTACAATACTTTTCAGAAGCGTCGCCAACTAACTCACAGTGCATGCAAATACACGTGAAACCACACATCACACACACATTGAATCTGATAGGCTCCTTACCGTTTCAACATCACCTAGCTATTTTTTGAAGAAGAAAAAAACGACAGGAATGATTTCAAGTTGATATGGAAAAATTGTCTAGAACGTTTTTTAAAATGAGACTGAATACAAATTTTGTGTGTGCGTGTGTGTGTGTGTGTGTTGTGTGTGTGTTGTGTGTGTGTGTGTGTGTGTGTGTGTGTGTGTGGTGTGTGTGTGTGTGTGTGTGTGTGATCGACTCTTTGAAGCTGTATGTCAATGATAATATTTTTCAAAAATTTTGAAAAATCCTAACGTCAAGTGTGCGTTTGGCGAACTTTTGAATTGATACACTTGAAAAAGTAGTTTGTTGTTGATGAACAGTAACAAAGTATACACAAATTAACACACACACACACACGAATTAACACACGCACACACACACACGCACACACATACATACATATGTACGCACACGCTCGCACATACGTATAAATACACACTTATACATAAACACATATACACGCGCACTTTAAACACACATATATATCACATATAATCAAATATTTGTATTTAAAATTTTTTCATCTAAAAAACTTCGAGTTGAGTTACATTTTTTTTTGTTTCTTATTTTATAAAGATAAAACTGTCTGGTCAGCAAATTTTTTTATTTGCAAATTTATTTTAACATCAAAACGTTTTTTTATATAAAAAAATCATTTAAATGTTCTTTTATTAATTTAATTACTTCAAATTAACAATTTAACGCCTTAATTTAACAATTAAGCCCAATTTTAAACTTAAATCGAATCACGAAACCCTTAAAAATTTATATTTTTCCATCAGGAGTGCCATGAAAAGCCTACAGGCGCTAGTGCTTCTCATCTGGACGTTCTCATGCCACAAAGTTCTCACCTTGAAATGCTACGACTGTGATTCAAGGACGAATCCGAACTGCGGTGTCCCATTCAATGCTGCCCACCTTGATACCTGTGTGGGAGCCTACTGTTTGAAAAATGTCAGCTGGAGAGGTCGAGGTAGTAGTCTGGGCTGAGCTGGGGCCCTACTTAGTAGTTTTTTTAAACTTTTGTGTAAGTTTACAATAGTTTGTTTCATGGTATCATAGATGGATTTATTTGGAATGAGTTATATAGATGACTGGTTTGATGAAATTTGATATAGTTATTAATATGGTAGGAGGGGATCTTTTAGGGTATCTCAACTTGGTCACTGCATTTCGTGAAAAAAAAAACCTAAAACTTCTCCAGGATCAACTTATCCTCCACCACAATCAAACGTGATAGCAGTCGTCAGAGCGTGCAGCAGTGTGTGGCAAAATTTCCAGTGGGGCTCGCCAGGACTGGGAAACTCCAAAGTTCAGACGTGTAATGACGTGGATTACTGCAACAAGCCGCAGATAAGTTGGGTTCAGCAGTATGGTTCCCATGTTTTTTTTATAAAAAAATTTCAAAATTTGATCTTCGTGTCATTCATTCATTCACTATTAAAACATTTTCACTTGGTTTTAATAAATTTAATATTTGAATCAGAACGAAATAAATTGATAACATGCCATAAATCTCCAACAAAACACGCTTAAACCACTTAAAATTTCATTATATTTTTTCATTATCGCAATTATCTTTCATTGAAAATGCAGTAAACCCCGTAATCTTTGTCTCAAAATCCATCCTACAGTCAAATAAATTTCTCTATTTTGAGTCAGGATACGACGGCGGAAGTTTCCTGAAATGTTACACATGTTCCGGAGAGGCCTGCCAGCATTCCTTGGTTAACATGGATACGTGCAGAGGTTACAGCTGCTATAGAAAGGTCGTCAGGGGCGAAGGTGTTATTTCCTAATCTTAATCCAATACATTAATTCTGTTGATAACGTTGTTATTGCTGTCATAATTATAAATATAATTATTAAACCTGAATGTAATAATGTAATATAATTATAATCAATAATTAATATAATTAGGTAGTAAGAGTGATATTGTTAAGAGTGTGTAATCAAGCTTCTGAGAGGTTTTGAGAAATTATTACAAAAGGCGCTATAAAAACTAATTTAAAATAATAATAAACAATGATTATAATATTATAATTATAATATACTATGGCTTTTAGTAACATCGAGGTCATGCCTGCCAGAGCCTTTGGAGGACTCATACGTCAATCAAGCCATAGACGGTGATCAATACTCTAGACTGGTTTGCAATAAAAACCTTTGCAACGATGCCACACCTACAACTACTACTACAGCCATTTTTGCAGTAGTTGTAGTGACGACAGTGGCTGCTATTTTTCTTTCTTTGATTGGGTATTTGTTTTAGTCATTGTTACAAAGAATAATTTTTATAATAAATTAGTTTTGATTGTAGTTAATAAAATAGCTAAAGAGGTGGAATTAACTTAATGTAAATATTATATAGAAATTCATGTGAAAATGTTTAAAAGTCTCAACTAAAACATTTGAATAAGGCACATGTCACTTTAAATTGCAACCATTCTGAATAAAATTAGCATCATGAAGAGAGAGAGACCAAATAACTTTATACATGTTAAGTGTTTGTTATTTCGTATATACAAATTTACATTCAGCAAATATGTTTAAAAATTGTATTGTTGACATATTGATTGATTTATTTTATTTCAGTTTTGAGTAAAAAGAAATAATCAAAAATTCTTGTCTCAGCGATATTTTGTGAAAAGCAGCTAGTACACAAACATTTTAATTTATACATATTAAGGTTTCAAATTAATCTGCATATTTGGGTCGTTTAATATCCGGCTGAACAAAATTTCATTATTCTACAAAATTTTTACTCCTCATCATCCAAAAAGCAATATCCTAGCACAAGCACAAACTAAATTAATCTCATTATAATTTAAATGTAACGCACAGATCTGAGCTATTTTATCGAAATTAATGTACAAGCTGCAAGTCACAACATAGTTACATGCTTTACCAGCATAACCATCTTTATACTTATATATAAATGCTGTTGCTATAGTTAGGTTTTCGTTCGAATCAATTTAATTATTTTGAAGTATATAACTCGGCAATAATCTGGCGAATTTTTAAAAATACGTTTTAAATCCATCTATGAAATGTATAGAAGACTTTTAATTAATTTGATTAAGATGGATTAAGAAAATTGTTCATTAAATTGTAAAATTGGAATTTCATTCGCATGTTTCTCCATTATTTTATTTTAATTCGGCAGATTGTTCTAATTTTGTTATTTTAAAAGCAGAAACGGCTTATCGTTGAAATTATTTACCAACGTTTGGAAGCTTTGTAAATTTTAATTTTCTTTCAAATTTTGAATAATATCACCTAAAATGGAATTTATCCAGAGGCGTCATTTGGGGGGAGGCAGAGGAGGCAATTGCCCCCCCCCCAAGAAAACAAAATTCTAAATTGCAAACACTAACCATATTAACTGTCGCGTTCGTTGTTATTAATGTTATTTTGGTTTAGCTGGAAGTCAATTTATATCATTTTTTAAGATAAAGAGTGAAGGTGATTTTGAATACAAATTGTTTCAGTTTCGTTAATAAATTTGATCAAACTACTAATCAATAATAAATGATTAAATTAAATTAATTATCAATGATATAAAAAATATATTAAATCATCAAGTTGGTAAGTCAAATAACAATAACTATTTTTTCTGGATATTGTAATAAATTTTATAAAAAGTTTAAATTATATTGTAGAAAGATGTCAGCTGGAAATGAATTACCAAAGAAAAAAATTAAACTTATAAATTATAAAAGTGTTAATTTTAAATTCTTTGTAAAAAGGATATATATATAGGATATATAATTTAGTAATTTTAAAACATTAAAAATTTTGAAATTTTAAAAACTTTAAATATGTAAAATTTATTATAATGTTGCATTGACGAGACTAGGTTGTCGAAATAGTACTATATGCATACATGTAGATAATGACATCTTCTGTAAATAGGAAATTTGTTAATAGCATTAACAAGTTAAGCTTGGTAGATCGGAAAATTATTCGAAGAATCGAGAAACTATCATATATATATATATATATATATATATATATATATATATATATAAGTTACATGTTAAGTCATAGACCACATAAGTTCGCGCCCCCCCCCAACCAAATCTGAAATAACGCTCCTGAATTTATCTTTACTTAGGGAGGCAGTATTTTCGTCGTGCCTTGAGAGCTTGAAATCGAAAAATGGCTTACAATTCAATATTTATTTAAATTTATCACCATTTTGCCAATTTTTAAATATAGCAGATTTTAGATTAACATTTATAGATACTGTAGTGTTTTTTTTTCTTTTTTTTTTTCTTTAAGAACAAATAACAAAATCACCGAAAAAATTGTTTAATTAATTCTGTTAAAAGCATTGCAAAGTTATATTATTTATTAGCAACCGATGAAGTCAATTATATGAAACTAATTCTAAGGTAAAAATGATAAAAAAAAACCTGAATATGTTTGAAACAAAAATAAAAAATGGCAAAATAGGAGAGAAAAATAAATTGAAAACATTTTTTAAATGAAAAGATGCTGGTTAAAAAGTGAGAATGTCGAGTTTGTATATAAACATCAACACATACTCATAACTTTACGTTTCGAAACACCTTTACAAACGTATTGCGAAACAGCATGTCATAAAACCGAGCGTAACTGCGTTACATATTCAGTTACATATGTAGTTGTTCCACATATCTACAAGATATTAATCAGATAAGAAAATCCAAAAAAAATTTGATGATATAAAAGTTAGAAAATAATTTAGTCTGTCAACTAACATAGTTTCATTTCAAATTAAATGTCCATTTCCAACTTTTTCAAGACACTGAAATCAGGCAATTTCTCTATTGAGAGGTGCATATTTGAACTGGTTGGAAGCAGTGCAGTATGAGAAGAATCCAATCAGCGTCAAAAGAACGGCGCTGAAGATGGCGATGAATGCGAATAGAACACTTTTTTCTTGAGAGACTAAAAATTTGGTTTTTGTCGTGAATTAATGAATGATAATAGATGAAATAAATATTAGTTTAATAACTCTGATATTGGGTTGAAGTGATTTGGCTGAAATTTAAAGTAATCTCTGTCCAAAACTGTCAAAAGTTTCATCAAAAAAAGTCATTAAAAGACAGACACTATTCAAATTACAGCAACAAATGATTTACTACCTTCACAAGTGTGTTGATCTTTGTTAAAGTAGCCACTGTTACACAAACAGCTGTAAGTGCCAACATTGTTTACGCAGGAAGAAGTGGATGAGTTACAGGAGTGAGTGTCTGTCAGGCATTCGTCCAGGTCTGTGTGGTATGTTGCAGGTGAATATTCATATTGGGTTGAGAAAATAATGTGTTTTGATTTGCCATTTTGGGTGAATTTTTAATAAAAATTAAGTTGTACCATTTTACATTACACTTCCTTTACTGAAAATACATTAAAGTTTAATAGTTCTATAAAAAATGAAACCGATGAATAAAAATATTTCTGAATCTAGTAGATTTATGTCGCCGTAAAAATTTAAAAAAAATTTTGAAAAAACTTCAAATTTATTTCAAATAAAGTCACGACCTTCACAGGTCCACTTGTTTTTATTGGCGAAGCCCTTGAAGCACGAGCAACTGTACGTCCCAATCTGGTTGACGCACGTTGAAGTTTGAGCATCGCAAACATTCGTCCCGACGTTCAAACACTCGTTGACGTCTGTGAGTTTTTAAGATTGCTATTGTCATGAAATTGTTCGTTATGTAACAGAAATATTTCGAGGTCTGAAAAACTCATGAAATAAAAAATATTTATCGAAATTGTTAACCTGAACAAATATTTTTTACTCTTGTTCTATTTTCATTATTATTTTATCAAAATTTTTTTTAAATAATTTTATAAATTTATAATAGTAAGTTGAAAAATATTTTACCTTGGCAAGAACTACTAATCAGTTGATAACCAGGTCGACACAAGCACTGATATGAACCAATAGTGTTAAGGCAGTATTCATTTGTTGAATTGCATGGATTTGAAGTTGCACATTCGTCGATATCTAAATACGTTTCATTTTTATTGATTTTGCAATAAAATTTTTTTATGATTGAGAGTTCAAAAATATGTTCAACCTATGCAGATGGTGTTGTTATTCGAACTATTAGTTGGATGTTGGTAGCCAGTTGTGCAGTTGCATAAGTAGTCTCCACCCACAACTATACAACTGGAAATCGTGTTGTTGCATAAGTTTGGAAAAACATTGCACACATTGTTGACTGTGAAAAAATTAAATTGGACGGAACTTATTTCCAAAATATTTGCAAATGTTTAAAGTTCCATACCCAGCTGACAGTAATCGTTGTAGAAATATTTCATGTAGCCAATCCTACAAACGCATTCCGTCATGACGGTCGATCCAATTTGGAATGAGGAGCATGGGTGGATGCCACAATCACCGTTGTTGACGTTGCAATCTTCAATTTTCCGAAAATAAATTCTATAAAAATTTAGTAATAAGCTCGCCTAAAAATTATTTAAAAGTCTTCCTACTAAATAACTGCAGTAGTAATTTTTTGACAATTACTTCTCAGATCACAGGCAGGTCCATACCATCCAGGCAGACAACTTGACGGATTACACGTCATATCTGGTGTCAGACTGTTTGGAGTGGTACAATGGTGGACTTGTGAGCAGCTTTGTCTTGTCCCGAGTTTGTTGCAAACTGATTGGTTGACGGTAACAATTGAGTTATTAAATATTTTATAATCTTGAAGAGATTAATAGTTTGTTTGATTTCTCAATGTCAAAAATTTAAAAACAACTAAAATAAAAAGTGCCAACGTGAATAGATGTTGTTGCTTGAGGGTCCTCCGCAATATTCTGTCAATGGCAGTCCCCCGCATGCTGAATTGCAAACATAT